TCCTTTTCTCTCTTTCTCTCCCCCACAACTGTTCTAACACAAACCATTCTGTCACTGTTCTAGTCGGACTTTGTTTAGCTGCAGATTTGGGTCTAAAAGAAGAAGCGTTTTTCTAGACAGAGAAAGGAAACGCCACACGGAGATCGACTCAAATGACGACTCCTTCAACAATCGCTTAAGCTCATAAAATGACCTTATCCGGTATCCTTTGCTCTAGACTTTCGAGAACAAAAGAGTCTTAATTAGAATGAGAAAAGGTCTTATTAAACAGTCCATTTGTCTCTGTTACAATTAAAGATGCACTGTGGACTTTACTGGTGGAGGATTAGCCACTTGCTTGTCTCAGTGAAGATGTTAATGCTTTCCCTGAAATGTTTTTAAGTATGACATTAAAGGGCCCATCTCATGCAAAATAACTCTTTTCACATTGTATCTTCTGCACATATACAAGCATAATTTGGGTTTTGGAACATCCATTACACAATAGTTATGAAATCTTACTGATTTCTTGGAGGCACAGACCAGGAACTATGAAAGATTTACTATCGCTCATCCCCCCGCCCGTCCTCAGAAAGCACAGGCTCCACCCTCCAAACGTGACGTAGGATCTGAGTGAGCCGCCCTTCCTCCGCCATCTCAGGGAGGGAGGGGGAGACAGACGTGCACCCTGATAGCGGCAGGAATAAACTTTTATTCATCATGGCGATACAGCGCGTTCAGCTGCATGTGTTGGACCCGAAATCGGACGAGGACTTTGAGGTGCACGAAGCTCAAGCACCGCGTCGGCATCAGCTGAACATTACTGATTGGTAAAGTATTAATAAACTCTATTAGATAAACTTATTATATCGTGTACACTGTAGTGCAGAACAATGAGCTTATGCTGTCGCTTTTGTTTAGGTGTTCATGTGGGAATTGTCAGCCCATGTGGAGTGGAGGCGGGGCAGAGACGGGGCAGAGGCGGTGGAGTGGGGGAGGGAGCCAGACGTTTTCTACTACATCAAACGCGTTATAGGTGTATCTGCCGCGTCATCGTTGTAGCAGTTTTAGTTCATTGTCACATGGAAGGGTGGCAGAAATACACTGCAATGTGTTTAAAAAATGCCGAATCAATCTAAAAACCACTTTGGCGACATATACAAGGCCCACACATCACTCTTAGAAGGTAGAAAGCTCTAAAAAGTTGATTATGCATGAGATGGGCCCTTTAAACTGTTCTATAGGATTATGGGATGCCATCAGAGGCTACGTTCAGACTGCAGCCTGAAGTGACCCAAATCAGATTTTTTCTCCCCTTTGAGACATGTATCTGATCTTTTAATGACAGTCTGAACGACCCAGATATGATTTTTCAAATGTGACCCAGGCCACTTGGATATGTGGTCCTAAAACCGATACATATCTGATCTTTTGACATGCGACTTCAGTCTGAACGGCCAGGTCGCATTCATCCCACAAATGTACACAAACGTTCTTCTTGTCATACGAAACTGTGTGTGAACTCCATGTTGGTGAAACAGCCAAGCACAGAGCAATCCCACCACTCTTGGCTGCGACTCCACGCCCACTCGTTCCTTTTCTATGGACGTTGCTGCCGCTGCCCCAAAAAGCACCACGGCCAAAAACCTCGTCCTTCTCCTTCTCAATCTCCTCCTTAAAACAAATAAGCTGAACATGTTCTGGCTCCGGTACGACAGCAACTTTAAGATCACCACGTGCACACTGAGCACACTTGCTGCATGTGCATGTGCATCGTTGTGTCCTCCAATGCGCATGTGGGACACTTTTGGGGCGTTTAAAGTTCACACTGGAGATCACATACAAGTCACATTTAATTGGAAATGTGAACGACCTTGCAAAAAAATCTGATTTCACAAAAAAATCCGAATTGATCATTAAGCCCTGCAGTCTAAAAGTAGCCAGAGTGAGTTACAGGTCAGATCTGTAAAGAGCTGACCCCATCTCAGCTTACACTAAAAATGGAACTTAGTTTTCCGTGTATTTTTCTGCGATACAAATAAGAATTGAATAAAGACACGACACAATGCCATAATGTCATACAGTGAAAAATTCCACACAAAGTAACAGCATGTACAAGGAGAATTAAAGATAACACACTAGAAACCCACCATTATATCATTGCATAACCGTACTTCAGAAACAAATTTGATTCCTTTTCATACTTCGCTTGTCTAATAGAAGAAGAAGAAAAAAAAAGAAGCAGTGTATTACAGCGAATTTTAATGAAACAGGCCAACCGTAAGCCCTTTATCAAGCAAAATCGACTCTTGTGAGCTTTAAGCCGTGTTATAATGTTGTTACCTCATCAAAAACACACCTGGAGTTGTGTTTTTTGTTTGTTGTGTTGGTCTCCAAAGCTCAAAACGCTCTGTTCCATTTTGTGGTGTCTTGAAGCGGTAGTTTTCAAGACATCAACAGCTACTTTTTTATGTTTTGTTCAGTGGAGTTTGCCAATTCCAGAGCTGAAATTATCCAAATGATTCTAGTGAAGGTGTGTAGAGTTTAAAACACAGTGGGGCACCTTCTGTATTACAATATGACATCACAAGGTGGAACAACCAGGAGTATTTTCAGTTCAGTCTGTGTGTTAAACATACGCGAATGAAACAAAACACGACTCCAGGTCAAGTTTTTGAAGAGGAAACATTATAACATAGATCAGAAAATAACGTAATATGAGCCCTTTAATCCGCGGGCTCAAGATTTGTTATTGTGCAAACCCGTGAACCTTTGGGATTATGCAAAGTGCAATTTAACCAGCGCCACCGTGTGCAATATGACAGACATTTTGAGAGTGTAATCTTGTTGCTAAGATTATTTTTCAGAATCATTATAAATCAGTGGCTGCAAAAAAAATACACAAAACTGTATTGAATCAAGGGCACAGAAATAGCTCGGCGGTGCACTAAATACAAAGCAGATTAAGAGTGTAAGAGTCCATTGTTTTGTGATAAGCCCCTCTTGAACACCTACGTAACTACTCAGAGTGGTGGTTCAGTTAGTCAAGAGCTTAACATGAATAAAGATATATGTTGTTGTTTTGTTTTTTTTATCCCCGCTGTATCATTACTGGCTACAGAATCCCATGTGTGTCACCAAAATAGATCAAAATCACAAAAATGTCAGAGTGAATTTACGCTTATTTTTCACCGTCGAGCGCGATGACAAAGCACTAGGCTGTGTATATAAAGTGAAAAAAATGAACTGAAAACGACGTCTCAAATCTCACATTGCAAACTATTCATTTAAAGGTGCACTACGTAGCTTTTCTGGTAGGGTCCAGGCCGTTTATCTCCATGGAAATGTTATTACTTTGCCTGGAATGTTCCACAGTGTCACATTATGCCCCTCTATCGTGCATTTATCCATAAAGCTGTCTTTATTCTTCAAAAACACCTTGATAATAGGGATGTAACAATGACCGAAACATCGTGATATCGTATCGTCAGAAGTCCTGGACCATCACAATATATCGAAGTACAAGTTCCTTTGCTTAAATACATGGTTTTATATTAGTAAAAGCTTATGAACATCAGAAACTACATTTCCCATGATTCATTTCAGCACAGACAACACGTAGAAATATGTTTTTTACTTGAATTCTTGGGATTATGATGGAAGTAATTCACACCAAAATCTTGTCAATGTAATTTAAAAGCAAAAAAGTGTCCTATCTACAATTATATTAACCTCAAATCGATATCGCAAATAAATATCGTACCGTGAGATGCGTATCGTGATAATATCGTACCGAGAGATTTGGATATCGTTACTGCATTCGTACTGTGAGCAAGGTCACCTCCCCGCAGATCTGACCTGTAACTTGGCCTGGTTATGTCACCAAATTTTTTTCATGGAGACAGACAAGTTTAAAGCAAAATACTGTGGAAATTTAAGCAAAGTAGTAACATTTTTAAGGAGAAAGGTAGGCAGACCCTCTAGATAGACGTGCACCTTTAAGTAAAAAGAGGTGCAACGAATGTAAAAGCATGCAAAAATAGAATCAGTTTAAAAGTAAGTCACAGTCCTATAGTGGGACCATGTCTTTATTTGAAAAGATCTCAAAAGAAGATAAGAAAATATGATAAATAAATAGCTAAATGTCCTCAAAAACGCCACGCTTAACAATCCAACTCAGTACTTTCGCTGTTTCTATTGTCTGCGCTCATCTAAGTGGAAGCCACAAGCAATTCAGAGGTTTCTGGTTAAATAAATTCCCAAATGACTCACTATTGGAAGCTATAACCTTCAGCGAAAGTGCACGGACACTCATGCACGCGCGTCCCCCTGTGCTATACCGGTCCACGAGGAACCACATCTTTTGTCTGACCAACCACAACACAGTGACAACAAAATACCGATCAATTACCCACGCCATAAGTGCACTGGACTCGACTACAGCGCTGAATTGAGTGTGCGTAAAGCGTGCGTGCGTGTGAAAGTGACAAGCGGATCATCCTCCGTGTGACCTCCCCCCAGACCCTAATTACCTCCTGATGGCGCGGACGCTTATCGCAAAAACATAACATCTGATAACGAATGGCTTTTCTCAACGACCTACTTGCTTCGTTTCTCGCAGGATGTGTCTGTGACTGGCCTTGACCTGTTTTTAAGTCTCCGTTGTGGCCAAAACTGAAATATGTCAAAGCTTGCATCGTGCGTAAAAGAGAGATAAAGCTGAATGTGACGCTAATTGTTTCAGTACTGTCACGGTTCTGATCTGTAACATCAGCCACTGTACACGCTGTACGCCGTCTCCCACACCTCGCAGCGTGGCTTGTGATAGTGGTAGTTTTAAATTTTGCGGGATTAAAAAGTGATGTGGAGCTAAAGTCGATGGAATAAGATCGTAAAACGTGTTATTCCATCGTAAAAGTTAGAAGTAAATACAGCTTGGAGAGACTTATCCGTGCGTTATCGGCACACAACGCCCATCATCTTGAGAAACAGAAACCAAACTGTTCACGCAGAGTCCTTACCGTCGAAGCCCTTGAAACGACGACGGCCAAGACATCCGGGATTTCTTGAGCCCGGGCCGGTGCCCCGTGTCCATGGCGTAAGTCCTGTCCATGTTCCTCGGGAGCAAGTATCTCTCGGTGTCCGAAAAGCCCCTTTGTCTGACGCGCTCGTTCTTACGCACGACCAGCGCGTGGTGCAGCGGAGAGAGCGCGGCTTGGTTCTGCTGCCTCCACAGATGTTTGGGCGCCTTTGCACTCACGCCGGTTCCGCCGCTGGCCACGAGCGCCACCGATCCCACTGTCCCGCAGGCAGGGTCCATCCTCCCTCCCACTCAGGCTCTACTTCACAGCACTAACAATGCCTAAAGTGCATTTAAAGCTCTAACGGGGTATTGCTTAGAATGACTTTAACGCTACAACAGGGAGTTATGTGGAAATAGTGCCAAACATTCAATTATTGCTAAAACTTTTACAGCTTTTCACGTCTCACATTCACTATTTTTATCCTGAGTAGTTTTCAGAAACACACTGGACAACACGTCGGACTCTGGCACAACTGTCTCAGTTTACGCATGGCGAGGTAGCCCGCTGTAACACTGCGCTTTTGGGGATGAAAAGTGCTCCGGAGTGAGGCTACAAGCAGAAACTCTTTGAAAAGACTCCAAACACGCGGTGCTGTCCCGGTACACGCCCATCCTAAAGAGGTGCTGCGGTACAGGCTGTCCAATCCGGGACGGTCCAAACTTTAACCCCAGCGGCTCCTCTCCTCGGGACGCACGGCAGGTTTGCGTAAAAGGCACCGGAGCAGACAGCAGCAGCACTCCGCCCGTGTTCGCCAGTCCCGGGCAGTAGCAGCGGCAGCGGGATATAGCAGGATGATACATTAAACATGAGGGGAGCTACTCAAAGCACCTCCCTCGCAACTGCTCCGTGAGGCAGGGTGGAGAGCGGGATAGCAGGCAGGTGGAGGGATGGACAACATGTATGCGCATCAGTAAACAACAGTAAGAGAAGGATTATACTGCACATATTTAGTAGTTTAGATATCAGGTATCAATAAAAATACGATGATGCACAAGATAACCAAATATCTTTTCCATCTGACACATTTTTACATTATATCCATTATTGTCAAGCTGCTTCTATCTTGGCCTATTATGTATATATAATAGGGATGTAACAATAACTGAAATATCGTGATATTGTATCGTCAAAGTTCTCACAATAATATCATGGACCATCACAATATATTGAATTACAAGTCTCTTTGCTTAAATTAAGAGTTAAGGTGCAGCAATTGCAAAAGAAAAAGACAGAGGGAACTACATAGACCATGATCTTTTGTTCCATTTCAGTGCAGACTACATGAAGAAATAACAGTTCTAAGCACTTTTAAGTCTTAGTTCTTTGGATTAAATCTTGTCAAGGCATTTTAAGAGGAAAAAGTAGAATATTAATAGTTTTAGCTGTTTAGCCTCCACAAAATATCGGAATAAATATCGTGCTTTGGGATGTATATCGTGAAAATATCATATCAAGAGATTTGGATATTGTTTCATTCCTAATCGTGAGCCTCCCCACCATATCATCAGCTTTCCCTCGATACTGCAATAAATATTGTTCCGTGACGATATTGTATCATGAGACTTGAATATCGTTACACTCCTAATATGTAACGTAAGTCTTTCATAGTGATATGTTCATTTAAAGGGCCCATATTAAGCATATTTCTGATCTGTTGCAATGTTGTGTCCTCGTAACAAATTTACATATTAAGGCTGAGGATTACTCAAACATGTGTGAATGAAGCAAAACACAACTCCAGCTCTGTTTTTGAAAAGGCAACAACATTATAACATGGCTTAAAGCTCACAAGAGTCCATTTTGCGTAATCTAGGACCGTTAATTTATAATATATTCTGTAAAATAGTTACTGTATTTCTGCTCTCTGAACTTGCTGTTGCAACACTGTAAATTTCCCAGTCTGATCTCTTATACAGTGGACAGTTTTACATTTTCCGTTGGCTTTTTTTAAGTGTTTGATAGTTGGTTGTTTAGAGCGAACAAAAAGTCTGTAACAATCACAAACTGGACACTTGTGGTTCTTGAGTTTCTGTGATGGAGTCTTTCACACTTGTCCTGGTTTTGTTCTGATTTGAGCCCGGCTTTGTCCTGATGCCGTTATTGAGCAGTTGAGAAAAGCTGGAAATTCACAGTTCACTTTTCACCGCGAGGGCACATGGTCAGTGCATGTTTGAGAATAGACAGTACTGTGCCTCAGGGGTGTTTACAAGCCTACAGCCGTAAGTGTACACACTCCAGGCTGAGGCAGATATGTTTTATTACTATCAAAGTTTTCTCATTCAATATAATGGCAACTCTGGAGATAATTTATAAGTGCAACTCCAAAACAAACAGCTTGGGTATTCTGACCAAGTCTAGTCTTGATCAAACGTTGAGCAGCATCTTTTCTGTGTGGAGTTTACATGTTCTCGCTTTGTCTGGGTGGGTTTTCAACATCAACCCAAAACATGCGCCGCAGGTACAATCCTCCAGCTGAGACCTGACCAAGACTAGCACAAGTCTGGAGCTGGGCGCTGCACTGCTCACTGATCCGACTGAAGGACGGGTCAAATGCAGAGGACACATTTCCTGCCTGCCATTTTCCGCCTGTCACGCTGGAGGGACTATGTCTCTCGGCTGGCCTGGGAACGTCTTGGGATCCCCCCCGGAGGAGCTGGAGGACGTGTCTGGGGTGAAGGAAGTCTGGGAGTCCCCGCTTAGACTGCTGCCCCCGCAACCCGACCTCGGATAAGCGGAAGAAATTGGATGGATGGATGGACATTTCCCTGAGGACAATAAAGTGTACATGTTTCTAAAGTATTTACAAAGCCCAAACATTTTACAATTAGATAACAAACAACAGCATGACAGTATAACCATGCAATCATGTCTAATTTCAGGCTATGTCAGATATATAATATATATTGGGGAAAAATAGTCCAAAACATGTCCAAGGATATGTTCTACCCACAATGCAGCAGTACTCTATCTACAGAATTGAGAGATATTTCCCTTTCACCTGCTCTCTGCTCTCTCCACATGAGCTGGTCAGCTGCAGGAGCCCGTGCAGGACCAGACTGTTACTCCTGCACCACTGACAGACACAGGAAATCACTCTGTCCTTTCACCATCAAACCTGAACTCTGTAAACACACTTTTTATACACAAAAACACCCACGCAGCCTTTAGTTCAGTTTTATTTATGTTGCAGGTTTCCGATAGACAAAGAAAATATTCTATTGTATTTTCAGCTTTTGATAAAATATTTATTTCAGTTTTTAAATTCATTTATATTGATAAACTATTTCTTCAACAGTGCGTGTAACAAAAGCAAAACTCTCAATTTCACAATGAGACTGAAAAATGCCTTTGAATCTAAGCCACCAAATAAAATATAACACATTTAAAAGCATTCTTTAACAAGCTTATATTAAAGGTCCAATATTTCACAAAATTAACTCATGTGGCTTTTATGACAGAATGTGCCTCCTCAAAAACATACCAGAAGTTGAGTTTTGTTTCATTCACATATGATCAGTGCAGCGTCTGCAGTGATGCTGTCGCTGTATTGAACAGTTGTGGTGAAGCCAAAAAGCAAAGCTCTCGATTTACTGGTCAATCCATGTTCCCTCACCTATGGTCGTGAGCTCTGGGTAATGACTGAAAAGACAAAATCACGCATACAATTGGTCGAAATGAGTTTTCTCCACAGGGTGGCTGGGCGCTCCCTTAGCGATAGGGTGAGGAGCTCAGTCACGTGGGAGGAGTTTGCAGTAGAGCTGCTGCTCCTCCATGCTGAGAGGAGCAGCTGAGGTGACTCTGTTCCAGATGCCTCCAGGGGGCCTCCTTCAGGAGGAGTTCCGGGCATGTCCCAGTGTGAGGACTCCCCGGGGAACACCCAGGACACACTGTCTCTTGGCTAGCTTGTGAATGCCTTGGGGTCCCCCAGAAGGAGCTGGAGGAAGTGTCCAGAGTGAAGGAAATTTGGGAGTCCCTGCTCAGACTGCTGCCACTGGATCCAGCCCAGGATCAGCCTGATCCTGTCAGATCTCAGAAACTAAGCCAGGCTGGGCCTGGTTAGTACTTGGATGGGAGACACTGGGAAAATCAGGTGCCACAGTGGGGCGCCAGTGGCAATAACTGCCGTTGTGTCCTTAGGCAAGGCACTTCACCCACATTGCCTAGTACGAAAGTGGTGTGTGCGTGAGTGATGGTGGTGGTCGGAGGGACCGATGGCACCGATTGGCATGGCAGCCTCGCTTCTGTCAGTCTGCCCCAGGGCAGCTGTGGCTACAATAGTAGCTGACCATCACCAGGTATAGAGTGAATGAATAATTCAGAATAATGCTCTGTAAAGCTTCTTTGTGACAAATGTCTGTGAAAAGCCCTATATAAATAAAGACTTACTTACCAGCCCCAGATAAGCAGAAGAAAATGAATGGATGGATGGATGACTGATCTTGCATCATTATTGTTGTTCAGCAGAGATTGGTGATTCTAGAGCTGAAATTATCCAAGTGTTTCTAGTAAAAGGTGCATGTAGTTTAAAAACACAGTGGAGCACTACCAGTGTTACATCACAAGGTAGGGACAAAGTGTTTTCTGAGAGGGAAGAACTCAGTCTATATGGTCTGTGTGTTCAACATGTGTGAATGAAACAAAACACAACTCTAGGTCTGTTTGAGATGAGGAAACAGGATTATAACAGAACAGAAAGTAGTGTAATAAATGAGTTGCCTTTATTAATCATGATAAGAGTTGCCACCAAAATATTGACATGATTGTTCTGGTGTAGAAGTGTAAAATACCCAGAGATAATGTAAGCCTGAAGTACTGTATGACACTGTTACATCCCTACAGCTTATGTTTAGTTTATCACCTGAAACCTTGTGGAAAATGCAAAAATAATAGCTCTGCACTTTCCCCATTGGCCGTGACCCTGCAGAGACCTTTAGTGCTGCCGTATGCTCCCTCCCACACTTCCAACACCATTATGCTCCTGTGTCCGACGCCCCGTCTCTCCATCTTCTCCCTCGCACTATTTCTCTCCCATTTTCCCTCTCTTCATTACGCTCCTTCCTCTTTTCCTTTCTAACTCCCCATCAGTCTTTCAGTCCGTACTCTCTCACTCCGGCTTGCTCTCTCATCCTCTTGCTCTCCTTTTCTCTCCCTATGTTACTCTTTCTGTCCTCCTCTCTCTCTCCTTCTCTCTCTCCCCATCTCTCTTCCCTCCCCCCTCTCTCTCTCGCTGCCTGCT